TACCTAACAAAGTCTTCCACGTGCCTCATACTTTCCTCATAATGTTTCCCGCCCACTTCTTGGCAGTGCAGTGCAATAAACTTTGGATCCAGCCTCAGTATAGTCTGTGGAAAGCGTTACCCGTCAATGTAAATACCGCGCATCGTGTTTACGCGATGACAGTGCACTCTTATCTGTGATACTTACAGATAAAAATTCCTCCGTCCAAACTTTCAACATCACGCTAGGCTGCAACAAGAGAAACGAAGACCCGGTGCGTTACTATCCGGATCGCAGATCGCAGCGGCATCGACGGACGGTAAACGACAGGCGAAAGCGGAAAACCACGGTAATCCCATCGTTCCACCGGTGCTAACCGAAACCTCGTTTTTCAGTGCTGAATCGACGAAGACCCCGTGGGAGCCGATCGATTTACGATCGCGTCGTAAATTCACGGCAACCGACAGGCGATCTCCGAAGAGACGCAAGATTCCACGAGTACGACATTGTCGCGCGCGGGCCAGCGCCGTGACGATTCGCGGTTCTCCGGAACGGAGGAAGGAAAAACGAGAGGACCGAAAGTTGAATGAAGAAAGAAAGGAACGGAAGAACGGAGAAGGCGAAGGAGATAAGTGGTTGCCGCGAGGATATCATTGCTAGCTTCTCTCGACGTCCGCGCAGTCATGAGATTTTATACTCGATGTTCATGAGATTTTTCTTCCAGATGATCCCTCCACGAAAAAGGACAACCACCCACCCCTATAGAGCATCGACGAACAATCTCCCCAATAAACCATTCACGAATCTCACTCGGAAGACGAGTCTCGAACGCGAAGGAAGAAATGGGTGTCTGGGTATACGAAAGTCGCGCCAAACGAGCCTCGAGGAGGGAAAAGGAGAGAAGCAAAGGGGAGAAAGGAAGAGAGAAGTGGGTCGTGTCGCGTACCGAACGCGTAAATCGCGAGGCGCGATCGATCGCTCAGGGTCGGTGCGGTGTGCGGTCAGCGTAGAGGAAAACAGAAGGAAAAGAGAAGTCGAGGAAACGAGAAGAAAAAGCCGTTGGTCAGTCGACGACGTCTGCATACGTACCTCCTCGAAAACGCTGCCCACGTTCGCGGTGACCAGGAGTACCGGAACGCCGTCACCCGCCATTCTCCTCTGGGTGTACGTCGAGAAAAAGGGCCTGTCTTTAAAGAGATCCTGTCGTCGGGGTAGACGTGTCGGCGTGCAGCGACGCAGATGAGGGACAGACGCCTGTCACGCGAGCACACGGTGCACTGGCTCGTCGAGAGTGCTCGCCAGCGAACGGCACGGAGCGAGCGAGCCGCTGGCCCGAGCTTAGCGAGCAAGCTTGAGGCGAGCTTGAAGCGAGCACACCGTCACACACTCGTGGGAATGAATGTTACCGTGGCCGCGCGCGACAGAGAGAGATAACGGAGGGAAAAGAAGAAGCCGAGCACACTCGCGTACAGGTTCCCGAGTAGGCTAAGTCACCCCTGCCGATGGTAGGTCCGCGGCGTGTCCGCAGGGAGCGATCAATCCCTGTGCCGAGTGGTGGCCACGGTCCCGCGGCGTGTACCGGTCGCATCAAACCTCGCACCGTGAATACGACACATTATTAATCGAATAACGTGAGGCGAGGCTCGTTCGCGCGCACCAGAGAGAAAAGTTGTGCGGTGCGGTAAATATATCCCTCTATCGGGCAGAGCGAAACCACGCCTACCGCAGACGTCAATAGGCAGTGCCGTGCACGTCGGGAACCGTGAACGCCGGAGAGAGGAGATTCCAGGGCCCCCGACCCGACTGCACGCGTGTCCAACTCTACACCTCCGCTAGACGGATTCTCGGCCGGGGTCGCCTCGCGCTGCGCGATCGAGCGCCGCGGCTCCTTTTCTTTACCCGACTCGCACGACCGTCTCCGAAAAACCGCCCTCAAGCTTCCTCGCGCGGAAAATTCCCGCTCGCCGCTTTCTATTCCTTAGGAAACACCCGAGAATGATCCTGTTTTTCAGAGGATCCTCTAGGATTAGATGTAGCGATTAATTCGGCGCTTATTTAGAAGAGGATCATACTTTGATCGTTGAAGTATTTTTTTTGAGAGCTTGACAAAGTTAAGCCACCGAATTCATTTCTACACATAACAATCTATAATATCCGGAGAGCCGAACGTCGTTTCCTGTCCAGTTCACTGTTCACCCGTGGATCCTCCGCCGATCCATCCCGAATCCTCTAATGAACTCACGACGAAGCCAGTTCGGTTCTCCAGCGATCTCCTCGAATCGCGGCAGTCGACTCGTTCGAGCAGAATTTCGCGAGACCGATCGCTCCGCCGTTCTCCGCGAGCCCGTTACTCCGCGAACCATGTAGCCAAGTTATCGGGAATTACTAAAAGCGTCACGATAATGAACGGGACGGAAGTATTGCGCAGATAAGGGTACGTGCGTGCGCGCGGCCGACACGATGCTGTACACGTCGACGGAAACCTGTAATTCAATAGCCCGAGACCGCACGGGGAGAGCAGGCTTTGCGAGCAGCGTGTAAAATTCTCCTGAAACGCGGACCAGAATCCGCGACTCGATCCTGGTCCTCGTTTCAGCCGTTGGTCCGGAAATGGGACTACTTCGCGGGATAGATTCATGGGAACTTGGCGCCGTTCATGGGACCAATTCAATCTTATCCTTACTTTATTGGACGAGACGCAACAGAAAATTCATGAGAACTTGTCGGAAATCACCTATGGAACCTAGCGCCGTTCATGGGACCATTTCAATATTGTCCTTACTTTATTGGACGAGACGCAACTGAGAAAATTCATGAGAACTTGTCGGAAATCACCTATGAAATTTAGCGTCGTTCATGGGACCATTTCAATATTGTCCTTACTTTATTGGACGAGACGCAACTGAGAAAATTCATGAGAACTTGTCGGAAATCAGCCAAGAAACCTAGCGCCATTCATGGGACTATTTTAATGTTATCCTCCGTCGAATGGGACGCAACAGAAAAATCATGAGAACTTGTCAGAAATCTTACCCTCCGTCGACGAGACACAGGATTTTCCTCGAAAGTTCAAACTAGTCAGGGGTGCCAACTAGTCCCGAGAATCCGTAGGAATCGCGAAGCGGCGAGTGGTTCCGGGCGGCTCGACTAGTACGCTCCTGGGTAGCGTTGTCGGAAACGATGTTCCAGCTGCGCATGAGAAGGGCGAAACGCACGCGCTCTTCTGCTCCGTTTACCATTACACCTTGCATTTGTTTTTTCGGCAAGCTCGAATCTGGTCGTCGCGACGTCTCCTCGGGCGCGGTGCGGATGGTAAACGGGGCCGCGGCCGGCGATCGTCGCGGATCGTCCACCCTCGCCGCTCGATCGTCCACCGATCCGGCCCAGAGTTACAGCGAACTTGTGTGCACCGTTCGGTACGGCTTCGTCCCGCGAGCCGATACGCGCGTCGATTCCGCTCGGGTGTCGTGCCGGACGCGTCTTATCTCGCGACATCGAAAAACCATATTCCCATCGAGCGCGTATCGCCGATAAGCGGCCGATCCGCGAGAAAGATCGCGGACCCTCGATAGGGAGAACTCATTAGTCTCGTTTGTCCGGTTTAATCGGGCGACTAACTGTAAAAGGAGCTCTTGGAAGGAACTCTTCGTATCCGTAACATCCGATCGAACTGTAAGCTGAGAATCTGAATTAGGCGACCGGCATCAACACGTTAAGCGCCACGAAAATCTTAATTTTCCCATAGAGTTCTTTTGTAGCAGAGAAAAGTAGGAATACTTATGAATTGTTTGGCGTTGCAACGTTTGCGTTACATTATTAACTTAGTTGCGTTGTTAAACATTTTTATTTCACATCGGTTGTCTTGTATGTTACGATTGTTTTTAGTCATTTAGAAGCGTCGGTCACCAGTGGCTGACATGGCGCTTAACGTGTTAACCTTTCACCTACCGGACTTGCGCGAAGCTACCTCTGTACTTGGCGCGGTGTAACGAATGTATCACTGCGATTCGAGATTAATTATCTACTATGCAATCACGTTAACCCTTTGTCCGAGTCTTGGTTTCTCAGCTTGAGGTTCTCGACGTTCATTCAATTACAGCTCGACGCTCTGTTTACTTATTCAAGAATATTTGGCAGTTACTGAAATGTTACTTCTAACCCTTTGCAGAGAATATTTTTCTCAAAATATTATTTCCTGATGCAATATCAATGATATGTTCTATAAATTAAGTGACAAAACTAGCTTATTTCGATGTTCCATGTGTCATTGTATAAAACTTGATATTGAATTCTATTTGATCATTTTGCTCGGTCGAATCAAATGGCGATGAAAGGCGCCGCTCTGCAAAGGGTTAAATGGTACAACTGTAATACAAATAAACATAGAAAAACTATTAAAACAGGTAGTTGCAATAAAATAGAATGTCGAGTCTGTTCCTGATCGAAATTAGATTATAATGTGCACCATCGATGCCATCAACGAAAGTCATTATAGTCTTACACCGTGCCTAAGGGATCAACCAATGGACGCCGAGTGAAATAAAGACCCTAGACAAATAAGTTGAGATTCCACCTAATTCGTATTTCGGGGAAGCTACAGGTCCGATCGGTATCTGTTCGAGGAACGTGTTTCCCTGTTATCGTCGCATTAAGTCGCTCGTCCCCGCGCCGGACACTCTAGGAATTCCCGAGACCGCCGGGATCGATGACCAGGGTCCGCGATTGCGCGAGATTGCCCGGGGAACTGTCGGCGAGCGCGGTTTGTTGACACTTTGCAGATGATGCTGCCGGCGGTGGCGGTGCTGCTGGCGACCGCGATCGTCCCCGCGATCGGCGAGACCGTTCGGACCACGGAGGTGTTCGTGATCCCCATCAGGCCGGAGACGTTCGAGTGGAGCAGCGCCGACGGTAAGACGCGAACAACGACCGTGTCGCGCGTCGCGTGCAACGAAAATAATTCGGACCAGCTCCGAAATAGCTGCCGGCAATACGATCTCGTCCTATCGCTCGGTTCTGCGTAATTAGAGCGGCCGATCGATCATATGATTTTAGTAATCGCGAGAGAATGGGGTGTTACGTTCTTTGTTAGGGTCTAAGAAGTTACATTAGTTTGATGGACTAGCGTGGTGTTCAGAAGTTAGATCGTTTCTGGAGATTTTTTTACACAATTGAGATTCTAACTAGATTTAGTGACATTTGTTGTAGTTCTATTCTTCTTAGAAACATTGTTCATTTAGATCTTAGAAATTAGAGGTTTAAGAGTTGGCAATTGGGATACATATTGCACTACTGCGTTAATTAAAATCGACCTAAATATTTACTAAATGATGCTTATAAAATTCAGTATGAGTCAAATCGACTCGTTTCATAAATCCAGTGTTACTTTCTGTCACATAAAGGTCATATTACACGAGATGCATCAGCTTAGTTATAACACTAAAACTACCGAGCATTTCAATTGACTTTTGAAAATTTTATAGAAACTCCAAGAGTGCATCTGTTCAATTGATTTACAATTTGCTAAATGAATTTCTTCAATAATTTCTCAGAGAAACATTTGTCACCTTTCTAATAATTGCAAAAAGACATCAGGCATGGGTCATTAGTATTAAATTCCCAACTCCGAAAACAAGCTAGCTTTTCTTTTGCACTCATCCACGTAAATGTCCTATTTATTCCACGTTCCTCGAAACAATCAAAGGAACATTACAAAACCGATCTGCGACCTTTCGAACGCAACCGTACACTCACTGGTACCATCAGTCATCGGATGTGACATTGAGGCGTGCTCCACCGGTGGTACACGCCGGCTCGAGCGTGTTAATCGAATTCACCGCGTCGAAATCCGCGTGATTCGCGGCGCGAATAGCAATATCGCGGCCCCTCGTGCATCGTATCGGCTTCACAGCTGACGTTGTCACGTGTGTCGGTACTTTCTAGCGCGACGTCATTCGAGGATCGTAAATGACACGCGGGAGACCCCGCGCCTCGTCCCGCCTCGCGCAGCCGCCCCTCTTATTGCGTGTCGGGACTCGTTCAAACGATTCGTGAATCGTTGGTCCGGCCTTTCCCCGAAATCTCTTGATCCGCTACGCGCCTCCGCGATACCGTGAAATCCAATTAACGCTTTGACTGTCCAAGTAAATAGCCAACAAAACTACCATGCCATCGGAACGGTTCTCTTAACCCTTTGCACTCGAAAGGTGACTCTCAGTCACCACTTGATTTGACACAGAAAACTACGAAGTTGAATATTCAGTATTTTAAATTCAAATTACACTTTGCAGTGTGAAATATTTAAATAGTTTTGTTGCAATTTTAGTTGAATATTCAGTACTTTAAATTAAAATTACACTTTACAATGTGAAATATTTAAATAGTTTTGTTGCTATTTTACTTGAATATTCAGCATTTTAAATGAAAATTGCACATTGCAGTGTGAAATACTTAAATAAAATAGCTTTGTTGCTATTTTAGTTGAATATTCAGTATTTTAAATTAAAATTACACTTTACAATGTGAAATATTTAAATAGTTTTGTTGCTATTTTAGTTGAATATTCAGTACTGTAAATTAAAATTACATTTTGCTATATGAAACATTTAAATAGAATTGTTGCTTAATTTATCTGTGAGTTATCGATAAATTAGTTTCAAGCAATGTCGTCCATATTTCATCAGAAAATGTCCAAATATTTCTACAGAGAAACTTCCGAGTATTGGGGTGACGTCAAAGTGTTAAGCCGATTTCCGAGGGGATCGGGAAATCATCGGGGTTTTCTACGATGACGAAAGACCATTCCCCATGTCTCATTGTTCCAGGACGAGATCAGTTCTCCTATCAGCCTTCGTTGCTGAACGCCCCGGATCTACCCTCGTGGATCCACTACACTTACAGCAAGAGGGACCACCGTGGCTTTCTCTATGGAGTCGCGCCGAAGGACCAAAAGTACTTTCAGGTGATCTATAACGCGCTGGCGATAGTGTACCACGGTTAATCAGAACAATAGGATAAACCGAGGCGAATCGGATCAGATTTAACCCTTTGCACTCCGTAGGCCTAGTCAATTGATTTTCTCTGTCTGTATCTTGTTGGAAACAAATATTTCCAATGAAAAACTTACGAGTGCAAAAGGTTAACTAACAGTTGAAACTTAGATCAACGTTGTTAATAAGTTTCTTATTAACCCTTTGCACTCGGAAGTTTTTTACTAGAAATATTCAACATTTCGACGAGGTATAGACGACGTTTGAAACTTAACGATAATTCATATACATTGAGCAACAAGGCTATTTTATTCAAATATTCCACATAGCGGTACAAAGTTCAATATGATACACTAAATATTCAACTCATAGTTTTCTGTGTCAAATCAAGTGACGACTCTCCAATGTTTCACGTATCGAGGCATTACTGTGTCAAATGGTGAGGGTCACCTCTCGAGTGCAAAGGGTTAAAGGAACTCAAAGAGGAATCACAAGTGAATCGGCAAACAAACCTTTTTATCCCAATATTTCCACCGATGCATAGTTCAACATTAAATATCACATTCCATAGTTTCCCTGCATCAAATCAAGTGAGAGTCACCCTGCAAAGGGTTAATCGTTTCATAAACAAAAGAACTCTAGAGTAAGAAACATCCGATTCGCCTCGAGTCCCAAACGAAGCTTCGAAGCTCCGTCGCTACCTGGAGGCTGCTTTCAGTTGGGTATCGTGGGCCTGAACAAGCACACCTACGAGACCAGGTACAAGATCCTGGACATGAACGTGCTGGAGAAGGAGAATCTAACGAAATACGAGGTCCACCTGAAGATCGACAATCTGAACGTGGAGGACATGTTCGACCGCAACAGAACCGAGGAGCTTCTCGATATATTTAGGTCAGTCGATAAAAGGCGGCGTTCCGGGCGCAGCCTTGGGGGACGCACGGTCTTCGGTGCACACCGACGCTATCTGGACTGATTACATTGTATTTATAGGGGCAAGCTGTGGAAAGATGCCACCGATTTGTACATAACTTTCCTCGCCTCCGCCATCGAGCTGGGCGCGCGTCTTCCTCTGAAACCGAGCGAGGGCGAAGGGTGAGTCTCCATCGTCAAAGTCGGCAAACTTTCCCATCCCTGAGAAAGTTTTCCACTCTACTTGTTCGTACTTGACCTGCTCTGGGAAACAGACGAGAAAGGCAACCGCCGATTCCGCCAACTTGCTACGAGCGCATTTTGCGTCAGCGCTTCTAAGAAAGTACGATACCGTCAGAATACCGGATCGAACTGAATTAAATCGATATATAACCGCGTTTCTACAATTGAATTAGAATTCACTGACGCCAACGGAACCAAATTTCCGAAGCGTCGACAGAGGGTTAACGTCCAACGACGACGGATCGACGCGAGATCGAATATTTTTCCTTTCGCTACGCCGCTGACGCCGATCGTCCGATCAACGGAAAATAACGATGACGCGTGTCCCACGCATTTTCCGACTTTTTTCGACGCTCGCCGCTTCCTGTCTCTAGACCGTTAGCCTTGCGCGATAGCCAGCTCGAGAGCTCGCACGCGCGACGCCGAGATAACGATCCTCGAAGACAATCGGAAGATCGTCCGATCGGTTCGCGATTTCAGTAGCTCCATTATGTAACCGCCTCGAGCGTGTTCGGCACTCGAGGCAGCCGCGGATCCTCGAGATCCACGATGGATCCTCGATACTCACCGACGCGAGGACCGTTAATCTTGAAGCGACACCGGAACGTTCGCGCGCACTGATCGGATTACTCGCGAGTGAGTAACGGTGTCATCAGTCGTCTGGTACCGCGTATCGAGCGTCCGTTTCCGACGAAGCGACTCGTCAGCGCGCGGCTGTCGCCGGCTCGTCACTGCGATAGCCGTCGATCGTTTCGACACCGTTCCCGGGAACTCGGCGAGCGGCGAGCATTGTCTCGGGCTCGGACACGCGGAAGCGAACTGCGTCGGAGGAACGGCGGATCGCTCGAGGAGGCTATCAGCGAAACGGCCGATTGGAATCGCGCCAACCGTCGGACACGCGAAACGGTTCGCGACACGGCCGACTTCGCGACGCGACGGAACGACGCAGATTAGCCGTGTAGCCTAATGTTGTGTAAGCCGCCGCGTACGAGCACGTTGGTCGCTAACGTAAGTGCGACATTGTCGGAGCGCACGAGTTTAACCGACTGAATGACTTCCGGCTGACCGCACTCGCGTATCTCGCGCCGCGTTGCCTTAGACGTCACCGGTTCCCGCGACGATACACCTCCGTGAAAGTCGGTGTCGTTAGCCGCGAATGTAGTCGTTTTCGACGGACCACTGCGAGGAATCTCTACATTCGTTGCGTACTATGATAAGCTCGAGGAATCGATGTCATCGCTTAGACGTCACCGTTTCTCGCCGAGCCGATACACCTGCGTGAAAGTTTGTCGACATCGTTAGCGGCGAATGTAGTCGTTTTCGACGGACCACTGCGAGGAACCTCTGGACTCGTTCTTTGATAAGCTCGATGAATCGATGCTGTCACCGCGGATGACGCAACAGAGTGCAGAGTCCCACGATTCGACAGAATTCGGGGAATCTCTGATTCCGATGAGTCAGAGCTGTGAAATGAATCAATGGGCCGGAGAGAAATTGCCGTGACATTATTACCGAGTAGCGCGAAGAGCTGTTATCGCGAAGCGTCATCTCTTTCTGAATACGGAGAACCTGCTCGGGGCTCTCCGAAACTTTCGACCGGGAAGCGATGCGTTCGTAGGAAAGCGGTGACGCGTTTTGTTTTCAAAGCTGAGCCCTACGTGTCGCGGTGCACGTAGCCTCCGGCTAGGCACCTGTCGACTCTAAACAGCATCCTATTGTCTACATCACTTTTTTCTTTTGTATTAGAGTCGTGGTGCGGCTGGGCAGCTCGACGCCGTTCTCGCAGGAACTGAACGAGCTGCAGGAAGAGGTGAAGCCGCTGTGGAAGCTACCCTCCTGTCCCAGGGACTTCAAACGCACCAGCGTCGAGAGACTCTTCAGGGAAGCGCGATTCGCGCTGGACTGGTGTTCCTTCAGATTAGTGCGTGTTCGTACGGGCTACTACCATTCAGTGCAGGGAAATTGACCGTTTCAGTCACAGACAGTTTAGATTTTACGAAACATCTCAGAGTCTGTTAGAGTATTTTCAGTGACTCCTGAGACTGAAACGGTTAATACTAGGTTTTGGACGTGTATTCTATTGTTCCTAGAAAACTTGATTTGATTCTTTGTCAGAGTATTCTCAATGACTGCTGAGACTGAAACGGTTGATAGGTTTTGGACGTGTATTCTATTGTTCCTAGAAAACTTGATGTTCATTCGGATCTTGAACACTGAAAGATAAGCTTCGATAAAAATTGACTGTATCATTTCCAAATGAGCTTGATAAAATTGAATACCTTAATTGGTGTCCTTAACACTTTGTGGACGGATGTCGGCATTTCAGCGAGATGGAATGTTCAAATTTGAAAGACTAAGTCGTAGACAAATGATTAGTTGAACAACAAGAGATCAGCACATAGTTTTTTTCTACTAATTAAACAATTGTCATAATCTAGCTTCATACGTTGGTTTTATATATTTCAAAGAATCTTCGTCCGCAGAGGTTAAACCTATCATTATTCTGATACTGCTTGCTTCCATCAGGCGGAGCGAGAGCAGCAGAGCTTGCAGCACGAGAGCGCCAGGCGAGGGCCGAGCGTGAACGCGCCGGGATTCCTAGACGTGTTCGAGCACTCCGAGTGGCGATGGGCGAGGTCGACGAAGGCCAGCGTCCCCAGCAGGAGCTACTTCAAAGAGATCATCACCTCGGTGTTCGTGCCTAGCATCCTGCTGCTGGTGCTGGCCGCGCTGCTCAGCACGGTGCTGTGCCTGAACCACGAGAAGATGTGAGTAACCGCGAGGCTCGTTATCTCGACGCCCTTTCGAGGAAGTCGCGCTCGAATCGTCGAAGCAGCGGATCCACCGGCGGACGGGCCAGTCACGGAAGAGGAATCGCGGATCGCGAGGTGCACGGACCAGTATCGGGAACGTCGACCGAAATATTTGTCATTCTGCCGCGGACCACGTGCTCGGGGAGCGAATTCCGACGCACAGCCGTGTGCTGGAACGAGCACGCGAGTGGTAGGGGCGCCAAGATAGAGGGGGCTGCCGCGACGACTCTGGTTTCATTCATGAACGGCCGCGATATCTGGTCAAGCGGTGACGCGGGCCGGACGGTAGTGGCGTGCGATCGAAAATGCGAGTCGCGCGTCCCGCGATAAACGTAATCGATGCTCGCGCTTACTGTAATTAGCGTAGGCTCCCGCTGCGTTCGATCGGCAGCTCTCGAGCTGCGGATCAACACTTTGCCGCGTAAACAATCGTCAAGACTCTCATGTACTCGAAACAGTTTTCTCCGTTAACCCCTTAACGCAGTTTTTTTGAAAAAAACAGGCTGAAAAACTTAATTTTGATATACTGCGCTTTTATTCCATGGAAAAAGGCTATATTCTATTCTTGAATAAATAAGTGTAGCTTACAATCCCATGTAAATGATAAATATCAATAAAACGATTTTTTTTCTTTGCTTTCATATTGTTGCGTTCACAGTTTGGCCTGTTTAGCTCGCTTGAATTAACTCGAGCGTACAAGGGGTTAACCAGAAACTGAGAAATCAAGATTCTTAACACTAGGTTTACGGGCATTTGTTGTAGTTTATTCTATTGTTCCTGGGGACGTTGATATTCGTTCATTTAGATTTTGGAAGTAGATGTAGAAATAGACAATTAAGATTCTTCTTAACACTAGGGTCACGGTCATTTATTGTACACTTCATACTATTATCCTAAAAGAATTGATGCTCGTTTATTTAGATTGTGCAAACTGGAGATTCGATAGTAAACATTTACAAAATAATATTTCTAAAATCCAATATGCGTCAACTTGACGCGTTCCGTAAACCTAGTGTCAATAATTCCACTATCTTCCTTATATCTCGTATACTCAACAAAGTTCGGTTCGTTCGATAGGTCACGAAGAAAATCAATGTCCGTGTCCCTGTAAAAAATGTCACCCGAATTCGGGTGAGGCGGCAGTCAAAGTTAATTCGCGTCGCGCTATCGATCGGCGCTCGGTCCCGAGGACGATAAGGAAACTTCGGCCGAGAGGGTGTAAAAATAGTCGGAAGAGGAAAGCGTCGGCTGTTCGACGGGCAAGCCGCGCGAGCATGTTTGCGCGGCTGGTATAATAAATACGATTTACGCAAGCGAGCGTAATGATGTTTATAACCAGCAATAAACAAGCGATTTTTCCTTCGCGCGAGAGAGCGAGCGAGCGCGCACGCTGATCGCGGGTATAAATAGACGGAGGTTCGGTGTTTCGCGACCCGTGCGCGCCGATCGTTAACGCGCCGTCCGTTTATCGGCGGGGTGTGACCGCTGGCGTGTCTGTCGCCGCTTCGACGGGTTCACTAATCGGTGCACGTGACGCGAAATCGTCCCACGCGGCGGAACACCTTGCCTTCACAGCGGACGGCTCGCTTTGTAGGGTCCCCGCGGGGATTGTCGAGCCGATGGATCTTCGTCACTTAACCGTTTGAGTTGCGGAGGTTCTTTAAAATATACGCTCGAAAAAAGCGGGCAGCGCTTTCTGATTGAGGAAAAATTCAAATGCGACGGCGCTCCTTTTATTGTGTCGAGGAAAGCCAAGCAGCACGACAGTGCTTATCTTCATTTATATTAATATTATTATATATATTATTATAATATTATATATATATAAGAATAGGGCGAAGGCGCTCCTTTTATTGTGTCGAGGAAAGCAGCGCGACAGTGCTTGTCTTCATTTATATTGATATTATTATATATATTATTATAATATTATATATATATATAAGAATAGGATGAAGGCGCTCCATTTATACTGTGTCGAGGAAAGCCAAGCAGCGTGGCAGCGTTTGTCTTCATTTATATTAATACAATTATATATATTATTATAATATAATATAAATATTGGCTTTCCTCGACACAAAATAAAAAGAGTGCCTTCGCGCTTGAATCTTTTCGCATCCCATTCAGAAAGCGCTATTGCGCTGTTCCGCTTTTTTCAAGCGTATTTTTATATATTATATGTTATATATATAATCATATATTATATAATCATATAATATATATATATTGATTATAATAGATAACAACGAAACACAAAATGTATTATATCAGTTCTATACAAAAAAACTAGCGACGCGACGTACACGCGTCTGAAAAGTTGATCGCTTCGTCCCATTGTGCGCCGTCAGTTGTCGTACCGTCGAGACTGTGCTTCTTCGACAATCCGAAGGGCGCGAAAGCGGCGCGTGGTACTCAAACGGTTAATCTTGGTTAATTACTCGCGATATCGCGTCTCCGGGGTCGAGCGCGTCGATAGGCGGTGGCGGCCGGTTCGAGCAAGCTGACATTGTCTATTTATAAGCGGACGAGTCCGACGGTCGCGTCACCGATTAGCCGCGCCGTAATTAATCCCCCGAGCCACCTACAACCTTTCAGACCTGGGAAGACTACCGAGGCGCCGGTAACACGCGAATGTTCGACCTTTCGCTCGAGGCGCGGCGGGTCATGGGAGCGCGCGGGAGGCCGCGGAGAATGGTAAACTTCCGGTTTTTACCTGGAAAGTATTAACCCGCCTGTATCCGCACGCCTCCGCGGTGCGAACGCGCGAGGATTATTTACAGGCGCCCGCATCGGGTCCTCTTCGTGGAACCGGTCGCCGAGTAATCCGCACCCGACGCTCCTTTCTGGGAAGGGGACAGTCAGCTGCGCTCCCTTCGGACCGCGATACGGGCGACAGTGTGTCTCGTATTTACATGACGGTCGGTCAGCAATCGGTTTGATCCCTTGCCGTATAATGACGAGTGAGGCTCGTCGTGAGCTCAGTTTAATGCAGACGTTCGAGTCGCTCAGAAGCTGACGCGTTGATGTTTCTCTGTATCTTCCGCTTTCTATATTTTCATGGAATAATGTTTTTAGTGGACTTGCTCGGTTCTTTGTTTATATTTGTAGCTTCTGAACATGTTATTTCAAAAGCCGAAACATTTTGCTTTCTGGACGTAATATTGGTTTCTCAGCGACTCGTGCTACTCATGTTTAGCTAATTATCAAATGAAATTGACTTAGTGCGTCGGTACGCTAATCTTTTGGCATTTACTTTTGCTACTTTTGTCTAGCGACTCGTGCTACTCATATTTAATTAATTATCAAATGAAATTGACTTAGTCGCGTACGCTAATCTCTCGGCGTATTTTGCTACTCTTGTCTGAGCGACTCGTGCTACTCATATTTAGCTAATTATCAAATAAAATTGACTTAGTCGCGTACGCTAAGATTAATCTCTTGGCGTACTTTTGCTGAATTCGAGTAATATTTTACTACCAATCGGTTAGAAACGCAAAAAATTGTCCATTCAAGTGGAAATTTCATTTAAATAGGAAAATACTTGTTTCTTGATCCGTGGGATTGTTATCATACGGCAAGGGGTTAAAGCGAGGCATTCCCATTTCGAGCGTGATCCGCCGCGGAAACGAAATATCCGATGCGTTACCTTGCCGTTCAAGGGTGCACGGCTCGTGATCCACGCGCGCGCGATCAAGGTGACTCGCGGCGGATATGCGGGTTACGCGACGAGAGGAACAAGCGCCAACAGGAATAGGACGCGCGCGAGCGTCACCGGCGCGATATGACTCACGGAAGGAAAAGCGTGTGGCGATAACGCGCGGAACGCTATTGTCGAATGATCGAGATACTTCGTTGTTGCGATCCATGTCGGACAAGCTGGAGAATGTCTGTTTCCCTTCCGCAGGAACGATCCCGAGTCCGAGGAGTTCTTCGTCGAGTTGTTTAACGTTTTCCACGGCGAAAAGGCAGTCAGGTACAAGCGACACTCGCAGTGTCATTGACGCTAGGTTTACGGGAATCTATTGTATAATTTATTCTATTGTTTCTGGAAAGGAACAATAGAATAAATTATAAATGAAACAGTTTATAATTTTATAACAGTTTGTAATTTGTAGTTTTATAACTATTTGTAATTTGTAGTTTTATAACAATCATAAATTTCATTCATTCAGATTTGCAGAACTATAGAGTTAAAAATACAATCTGGATACATATCTGTACAATCGCTGTTTACAAAATTCTATAACTAATGTTTATAAAATTCTATGTACGTCAGACCATTCCCTAAATCTAGTGCCAACGCGTTCCGTGCCACCGGAAATTCCAGTTATATCTTAAGTGAAAGTAAATATCTTAAGATTTCCAATGATAGATTAACCCTTTGTGGAGGAATGTTTATAGTCCACAAAACCTTCAGTAAACAGAGCCAAATTACACGTCGAATACTTAAATAATAGAGCAAAGAGACTATATACCGATTTGTACAACGGTATGCCAAATATCAAAGTTCTTGTCTAAATGCCAACATTCATCCTCAAAGGGTTTAATTGAAGCTTTTTCTAACTTCATACATTCTCTCATTCCACATTCTAGTTTCACGACGTGTACCATTTCTTTGACACAAATGTTCCCTCACAAAAATTCCTAATACACCATAAACGGTACACACGGCACGGAGCGTGTTAACCAGTGTGTTCTAATCGTTTTGGCGATTCTCTAACCGTGACCTAATTGTCCGTGCACGTAAGGAGTGCGATTTTGCGGTGCCATAGTGCTGTGGCGTTCTGGCTGGTTTCACCGAAGGCTTGCCACTTCGGCTGACCCAGGGATGGGTCAAATTGTCTAGTGATATTGCTCTTTGTTTCAGCGACGAGGACAGAGAGTCTAGAACTGCGGAAGGAATCGGTAGCAACAACATACAAATGGTCCAATATGCTGCGTCGGAGAGGGGAACTTTGAAGTCGCTCGCGGCACAGCCATCGAGCCCCAATGACTCTTTGCTGAGAAGCCCTAGGTAGGTGCTGTTTAACCCTTTTTTATTGTCATTCCGACGAGGATATTGTTGCAGAGTCTCCAACGAGCGATGCAACCCGTACGTCCGTCCAAATCCGCCACCCTATACAGGTCCAGGAAATTTGTAAGTCCAGTACATCCATGTGTCTCGAGGTACACACCATCGGTGTCATTGATGACGCTCGTTTCCTTCGTAGGGCCGGCATCCGCGCTGATTTCTGACTACACGAGGAGCCAGCTAAGACGTGGTTCTGCTGAGCGACTCAGCTCCGCCGTTTGTCCGCTAGGAATCGCGAAATCGTCAAAACTGGCTCCGCATCTCGCTCGTTACTTCAAGATAGTTACTTCGTCTTCGGTAATCACCCTTTGCACTCGAAAGCTTTTCACTTGAAGTACTCTGTACTCTCTAATTTGATATAGACGAGATTCTTTAACCCTCTGTGGGTCGAATTTTTGTTCATTATTATAACAAAATCTATGCAGTAGAATTAATGTATTCAATTGTTTCAATAATTTCATCAAACATATATTTTGTAACTTTCAAAGTTTCAGTTTACTGATTACTTAATTTTACTCACCACTTTCAGTGGAAAATGAAAGAAATCAACAAGTCAGTATACTGATATGTGACTGCAAAATTACACGGGCCTACAAAGGGTTAAAATGAATTTAACAATGAATCATACATAAATTAGGTAACCATTTCCTTGTAATAGCTCACATACTGATGCAGTATAAGGTTAATGGTAAATCCCAAAATTTATAATTTTGTTGGATTCAATCATCCTAGACTGGGAGTCGCCTCTCGAGTGCAAAGGGTTAATCGATGGGTTCGATGATTGCAATAACACGACGTAGACCTGTAAAATGTTCTGCTCGTAATATACTTTTTATAATATTAAAAGATTGCTACTTGTTTACCGTGAAACTGTGTACCGTGACGATCAGTGGTTTTTTCGAAGGTGCGCAAAGAAACATGTAAAAATGTAAATGACTTGTTTCTTGGCTCTTTGTTACATATCCTCGATCACGACGCACCGAGTTGCACACTGATTGCTGAAGTTAGAAATGTACGATAATTAGACGTGACCGTAGTAAATGGCATAATTGCTGCGCATAACGAGTAGCGAACGATGCCCACGCATCGGTAATTGTATACGGTTACCGAACAATCCTCCGACTTTAATAAATGAAAGTGAATGGTAATTTGTTTTCACTTCGCATTACGCTGCTGCTCTCAATCTTTCGTAACCTTTGTTATTCAGTTCGATCTTGCTGCGTCTTTATTTACCATTTTTCAATGATACACGTTCTTCCACGAATTTCTATCTTCTCGGTCCTTTTTTTTCCTTTTTCTTTTCATTTTTATTTGTAGCCTGTCGTCATCATTGACAGTTATGACTTTTGCGTTGATCTGTCACCGTTCCGGAGGGAAAGTCATTCATTTTCAATGAGCTCATCGATGTACTTGCTGCTACGCCTTGACGGTTCCTCGAGAACCTAACCTTTCTGTAACGGCCACGCGTGCGCTTTACACAAACCATGCTTGAACACGGGAATTTTCTAACAGTAGCACCGTCGAGCGGTCTCGAGCTTGTGTCGGGATAAGGATTTTCTGTGGCGAATTAATTATTCGCGTAACAGAATTAACAAGCGAAGTGTCGGTCGTCTTGAACGGTTCTCGTCGGAGCTCTCGAAATCATGGCTGGCATCGTACCACTTTCTGGCAGATCTGGTCGAAAACAATGGACACTTCACGGTAACATAATAACAATTTCACTTTCGAATATTTTCGTTGCAATTCAATTTCCGTTGTTGCGTGTCGGTCGCATTGAAACGGCAATAACGTCGTGACGGATCGACGCGAATAGTTGGTGCGATGGTAGAAAGTGTCAGTCATCTGTTACGTTGTTCTGTCACTGACGGATCGAGGGAGTTTCAAAGCATTGACAATTTCAGATGGACCGCGAGGATCTCTCAGACGACTGCGATCTCAACTCGCCGAGGACGGTTGCCCGGAATCTCAAGTAGTTTTAGCTAAGCAACTGTTGGAAGAAAGATGTGGTATAATATAAATTGTCACTTTATGAGAGAGCGTATCTGATACGCCTTACTCTATGTAAATAATGCATTTAGATCTGGATGTTGATAAGGAGGAAAATGCAAAGTTGGGAGTATACTGGCTTACGAAAGCTTCGGAACAGGGTAACTTGGAAGCAACGGATATCCTTAGGAAGTGTTTAGCAACCGGTCGCGGTATCACTGAACATAATTATTACGATGTAAAGAATTGCCTGGATATGACTCAAGATGAGAAATTAGCCAGAAGAGCGGCAAGGGAAATGTTTACTAGGTATAAGAATTTCAGTTGCATAAATTCACAGAATATTTTGTATATATTCTAAATACAATGGGTTCTAGTCTTTCAAATGGGGAGGATTTTATCACAACAGAGCAGCTACAAAGACGAATGAGGGACTTGGCATCAAATTCTATCAATAATGCCAATTGTTGCCATTCGAATAACATGCCACATAGTAATTCTCAGAAGTCAGTACCTAAGAAGGAGGAAGAAAAGGAAAACGATGTTCATGGTAGGCACACATTTTCCAGACACCGTATCTCTTTCCCAGAATCTATTTTAATTCTTTCCTTATGTATTAACCATAGATTGGATGCATTGCCAAGGAGAGAAAATCACAGAGGCAGCTTTAGTTTCTGCTGCTGCCAGCTACGCTCGAGGGATGCTTCCTATAGTTTCGCATGCCCTCTGTATGGTGGACCCGACTCAAATGGCACTAGATACCATACCACTGTTACAAAGACCTTTAATACACCCCCTTGCATCTTTAAAGCGGCTTTATATTTGGCTAATAGAAACGTTAGGGCAGAGGGGAATGTCGATTAGGAAGTTCCTCTTCACTTCAAACGTACACGTGCTGTTGTTGCTTCTATTGTACTCGTTATTTGGCACGGAGAGCCTCATACTCTTCATACCCATGGCTCTATACTACCTGTCCTTCACGGTAATGGTCATAGCCACGTTCCAGATGTTACAACGGAAACGCGAGTTCAACAACTTCCGCGTCTGGTCGGGATTGTTCCTCAGTTACTCGGGTGGCAACTTGAACCCCGAGGAGGCGGAATACCAGTACTGCTGTAACAATCTCAAGCCTTACGCTCACTTCTTTCTCGCGCTGCTTCTGAACTTAATGATCTACCCCATCATAGCTCATCAGTGGACGCCCCAGTCAGAATTCACCATCATAGCTGTCGCGTTGACGTTAGTCACGCTCTTGAACTTCATGTGGAAGGACTCTTCCAGGTTCCCAGACTTCCTAGCGCTCTTCAGTTTCGGTGTTCACGTCCTCGCGAAATACCCGTACGAAACGGACATCGTGGTCGCGCAGGGATGGAGGTTCCTCGACATAAGGGTGCCCACTTTCGCCTCGTACGTCGTCGGGAACGGTATAGAGTTCTGTCTAAATTTCCGGGCAGTTTTCTACCTGCTGATACCTGCGGTCTTCGCGAAAATGGCCGCTCAGGACAATTGGCGGGGCACTTACCAGACTTTAATACCTCATTGTGTGACGTTAAGCTGGTGGCAAATAGCCATCTTCAGCTCTCAAGGGGCGACGTGGTACGGATTAATTAGGGGTGCCCTTGCGTTGGTCGGTATGGTACTTTTTTTGCCTCTGGCGGGATTAGCGTCTATTATCCTACCAATTGTGGCCGCTGCTAAATACTTGTCGGAGAGTGACCTGGCCATGAGAATAGTGGTGACCGCTTTGCTCGGAGGGATGCCATTCTTCGCTTCCTGGTATTTGCGGAAGACCAGGACCCCTAGGTTCAATTGGATCATCACCGTCATCCAGGTAAATTCCAAGAAACCACTTCCCTAGTATACAAGTTTAATGACTTTCCAATACTCTCACCAATTTAACGTTTACAGTTGTTCATGGGTGTCGGTGCCGGGATGTTCTTGTGCTGGCCGATGATCATGGAGTACAAGCAGGAGCCGGACATATACAAAGTGATCCCCACGCTGTCATGGGAGCAATATCAGAACCACTGTCATCAACCGGCATGGGAGGAACTGTCGTCCAAGGCGCAAGTGCAAATTCAGTGCGCCGATCTGGAGGGAATACTCGTCTCGTGGGAGGGCTACGTGACCAACATTAAGCTGAAGACGTTGAGCAACAGCGTCGCGACGGTCTTCGACAAGCTACCCGACAGTATCAGGAACGCGATCGGCTGCATGTACGGCGAGCCGCACTCGAACAACTGCGACTCCGTCGACCACCAGCGGCAAAAGAACTGCAGGCATATCGCGAGCATTCAGAAGCGGAAGAACAAGTGCCACTTTCCTGCGTGGAACCAGTACGAGTTCGAGATCTCGGTGAAGATGAAAAGTGGCATGTGGGGGAACAACGCGGAGGTTCTGCTGATAGCCGAGCATTCCTTCGCGAACTTCAGCCTGAACATTTATCCGGGGGACAAGATCTGGTTCTCCGGTACTCTGTTGAACGACGGTTTGCAAGCGGAGTCCCTGCTAGGCGGCGCCGAGCCGCGCGTTCAGCTGGAGGAGATCGGTTGCCTCGCGTGTCACTCCATCGACTTGAAATCTTACAAACGCTACGCGTATCACATAACGTTCAGCTCGGTTTTCAGCGACCTTTGTCTGAGCATAAAGACTGTTCTGAACTTTCTGTTTAACCCTATCGTGATATTCACATAGAGAACGGGATCGTGCAATCTGTAGGATGCATCGAATCGTGACTACTTTTAGAACGAAACCGTTTGCTCGAGACCTTTGAGTGTTTCCATGGGGCGTTCGAGGAGGCAGACTTAGGTACTCGAGGAGCAAAGCGTGTACATATAATCAACTCGCAGTTTTTCTCTTGGAGAACATGTATTACGGTCGGAGTATCGAATCTTCACTGATTTCTCATGTATTACAGTTTCGTTTTTACATTAAAGTTATACGGTTTATTATAGTTGAATTGGAAATTATTGTTGTTCGGATAGTAGAGTAGGGATTGAACGAGATAACTTTTTTAACCGATGTACGCAAGTCTATATAGAATAATATACAAGCATATTTTGATGTACCAACGCCTCAGGCATTTAGAATCTCAATGAGAATGATATCTATGTGACGGAGAACACTTATACATATACATACATATATATACATGTGTATATACATATATATACCTATGTATATTTTAAGATCGACATATTTTCGTAAATATTACTGCCAGTTATAGAGACAAATGTGCTTAATATTTTTCTATTCCGTTTTCGGAAAATGAAAGGGAAAAAAGACGGAACCTCTTGAATCTTACTTTTAACACGACAATTACACACAGTTTTTGTAACGTTGGAAATCTCGACGAGGAACATTATTCGCATCTAAAGACCGAATTGGATTTGACGTTTAAGAACCGGTGTATCTACAACGAATGTGATGATGTGAGTACCTATATTATTGATATTTTAGTTTCTTAGAACTTGACGTTGCACCTCTGAAACTTCGAAAATTGTAATTTAGTTGTTGAACTAATCTTTACTCGTGTAAATGTCAATGAATATTACGTGTATTCGAAGAAATAGTAAAGATATATACATACATGTTGCATAGGAGTTACAAGTTACTGTTGAATCGATGTCAAATGTCTAGACTTTAAAAACATAAACAATTAAAGGAGTCTTCTGAACGGTTTAGAGAAAGTTGCGACGACAAGTTTATTTTTCATGTCATATCAGGACAATAGTGACGGAAATTATAGTTGACAGAGAAGACAAAGAAATATAGATGTGTGCCTTGATGTTTTCTGTTTTCGATCGAATGATTTTATTGTTTATGATGAAATATATTTAAAAGATTGTAATATCATCGTTAGATTGAATGCGTTCGTTTAAGTGATATATTGTCTGAGAATTTTGTAGGAAATGTATTTCCCATGTGTACTTCTCTTCTTACATAAAATTGTTTATGTTTTTCCAAGAAATTCCATTCTCTCTTATACAATTCAATATACTTTTATTTTATATTTGGCAACAGATGACGTACATTATTTTTACGGATGATAACATTACGTTTGCTTTAACAAGACGATCGTTTGCTCAGAGATTTTGCTTCCCTATTATCCTTGGTTTTCCTTTTCTTTTTTTTGTATAAAAAAAAAGAGTTTGTACAGTATGAAATCACTTTAATAACTATTCCATACCGACGTTTCTTTTGTTGTATGTACAAATATAAAATCTACGTCAATAAAGTCTTTCCAATCATATTAAATTTGTAGATGTAAAGATAAGGCAAAGTGAGAAAGAACGCTTTCATAGAAATCGATTATTGTTCCTAAAGAGTTCGTTTCTCTCTGATCGGATATCCTATCCACGTGTAATGTTTCATTTAAAATCTTACAAGTTCCAGGCTTACCGGCGAATAAATTATCATAGATACAATAGAAAAAATGATCGATGTTGTCTCTCGGTGTTGTTTGTATGTTCAAAGATTGGGCGTTACTTTTTCCTGCCTACGGCGAACGATGTAACAATTTAACAATGTGATAATGTACATTTACTGAACTTAGAGCTACAGGATTGACGGCAGCAACTTAACAGCATGACAACTTTGGTAAAGGAATCGTGTACTACGCGTGATTAACATTATTAGGACCAGAGTAGTAGTAATAGCATAAATTCGACGTCTTATAACTGCTGCAACAATTTTACACATTATCGTAAATCGTTTAATCAATTGTTGCTACATGTAATTCCTGTTGATGTATCTCTCTCTCTTCCAAAGTGACTTTTTTCGGAAACGGGACTAATGGTCGATACAATAACCACCATTTCTTTTATACTAATATCCAAATAAACAGTCTTATGAACACTTTATAACGACACGTTTATCTCTTAGAATGAACATCCGATATAAACGAGAAATTCGAAAGCAGAATTGTTTATGAATTATCATCACGGTTTAGTAGAACCGTTTTCTGCTGTTCTCTTGATGTTTTTGATACCACATGATACCTATTACGATGCACGCGATTATCGCGAGCACACTCACTAACATTAAGAGAAAGAACATTACTCTGCTCAGAATAGATTGCTTCGGGTCATCTACATGTTCTGGAAAAAGAATACATTTTATTCTTAGCAATTCAATGTATACGATAATAAGAATACTTCCTATGTAGAAAATAATTACTTGATTCATTACCTCGTGGAGCTTCGTAGAACGCAGCAGAAGGTAGTATGTTGGATCTATCTTCGTCATCCTTAACCTGAAAGTGAACGCAAATCATTAATGAAAGTGACTGTACGTAATGAATCAGTGTTACAATACTCAACGAAAAGACTTACGTCGTGTGCTAAATCTAATTCAAACAGTCGAAGTGATAATATGTCGTGGTTGTCGGATAAGTCTCCTGTCGTCGCGGAAATTCCAAAGTAATAGCCTGTGGGAAGCTTTATATCCTTTACGGAGAAACATTCCTTCCATGCAGCTTTGTTTGCAAAGTCCGTGGACACTAAAGAAAAAAATCATTTGGCAATTTCTCACACAGATCTCTATGATTCTTGATTATTTGTTTTACATAGTTACGATACTATCCAATTTCATGCTACATTGGATAAGAAAGAAAAGCTACCGTACTCCAAATTAACACAATGTAATATTCAAAGGCAAGGTTCATGTTTATTTCATTGTGACTATATACTGTGCGTATGAGAACGGAAACTTGAAATGATGTGTAAGAATGCAAAGTAAAAAATAATAAGCAATGCATGAAGGATGAAGAAAATACCACTTGCTGAAGTAGAGGCACTCCATGTTGTGAGCCAGGAGGCCTCAGGATAAGACCTTACTGTAATTTTAATTTGTACAACACCACGTAAAACAATGTGAATACATGGAAAGCGTTACCATGAGTATGTTTTGTCTACTTTAGAGTGATTAGTTACACATGTTTATTAATATATATATAATATATGTATAGACAGTTTCATGGTTATTTGAAACAATAAACATTCAGACAACATAAAATTATTATTAATATTCCCTTACCAGTTAGTGTGTCTCTTTCATATCTAATAGCAACATGAGTATCATGTTCCAAGTTTCTGAATTTTGCTTCGCAACCAGCTATTTGTGTGTGAGTTCCATCACGGTCGTGATCATAATGCAGGGAACCATTGTTGACCATAGCAGAAATGTAAGGGTGCTGATGCTATAAAATCCAGTAAATGTATCATTGAATTAATAATTTCCCTATATAGCATGAACATAATACTTTTGTTATTTATAAATACATTTGTTGCTTCAGTCACATACATTATGCGGGCCATTGTGATTGCTATATGTGTCTAAAATTATGGCTAATCCATGGAAATAATCCCTATTTCCAAATACAGGGCCTGTTTGCATTCTTTCTTTTGCATACCAAATGACAAAACCATCTCCATACAGATCTCTTCCTTTTCCATGAACCTTAAAGTGAACTTGGAGTTCCCAATTTCTTACGTGACATGGCTGAAACAATAAGACAAAGGAAGCTAGTCCTCATTGTTCGCAACATTGACCTTTGACTTTAGGAAAATAGATAGACAGATATATATTCCTTTTCTATAGTTTGTATTGTGCAAACATGTACTTTAATCTCTAAGGAATCCTTTGTTATTAAATTAAACGCGCAGCATTGTAAAGAATGTTGAACTTACAGCGGAATTCCATATGGCACCTTGTTTACTTTGAAGATCCGGCGTTAATCTAACATAATTATTTGTCACCATTGTACTACCAGTAAAATCCCAGTAAGGAATTGTCATTCCGGATCCTAAACATAAATATGATTGTACCTGTACTCATGGGAAAACGCATGTATACTTTTGAAATAAAGGTTTCGAACAACAGCAAGATTATCTGAACTTTGTTCTAATCGTATTGCCATAAATGAGTCATAAAAACAATACGAAAAAACGTTCTTATTGCTCATTAAATTAACCTTAAAGTTTTATTCATTTAATTCACCTTTGCGGCTCGATTGTGTAATGTAACACGCATTTATCGTATTTAAATCAGGAAAGAATTACACGTCACAGCATTTTACGTTATACTACGTGATTTCCGTAAAACGAGCCAAAATTTACAAACCTTGGTACGGCCTGATCAAAGAATGCTCTCGTTTCATATAGTCTTTTGTGTTCCATTCTGCGGCGACTAGCTGCCAAACGCTCGCAACGAGTACCAAGCATGATATGATATTCATTTTTTGTACTTTACGTCTATACTACGATGTCACTTTTAATATCAAACGGCACCACTCAATCACTTTGCGATTACAACGCGTAATTCACTGAAGCTATTGCCGGAATAAAGATTCTGCTATATACCTTTACGACCAATTGAAGTGAGTCGGTGAGGCAGCACTCTGGCCAACATAAAGGTGCATTCGGATCCTACGTTTCCGGTTCAGTTCCATCTTACTTAAAAATCATTCTCTACCCTTTAATTTCACTGTTAGAACTTTGAAAAATATTCACAGGAAATTATTTTGAGACATAGGAATACCTTTCCATGCATCTTGTGGTGGAGGAGCATCCTTTGGTATAAGAGACAGTCCCTAGCATAATTAGAATCAGTACTCGATTGTCATTCGAGGTGCGAGAAGGCATAGTATTGACGAGTCGCCATCTACCGGGGAATTGTGCGAACCATTTTCCCCGTATGCTCAATGGGGGTAAGACATAAAAAAGCACTGGGGGTTCCAGGATTTTCTCAGTCTGATTCCGGACGTCTTTCACGACAGTTCGAGGATTTTCTCATTGAAGTTTGAGACGTCTCTTGCCTGTGGTTTGAGGGATTTTTCGAGAGGGTTCAAAGGGTTCCTCCCACGCCTTCAAAGCACAAAAGATGACAAGCCTTTCGGCTCAAACTAAAAGAGCTCACTTATTGCGTATTTTAGAATCTTTTGCTTTCTCGAGGCTCACAGGCTCGAATGCTCTAAAGCCAAGGAGCTCAAACTAAAACAGCTCACTTATTGTGTATTTTAGAATCTTTTGCTATCTCAAGGCTCACAGGCTCGAATGCTCTAAATCCAAGGAGCTCAAACTAAAAGAGCTCACTGATTGTGTATTTTAGAATCTTTTGCTTTCTCAAGGCTCACAGGCTCGAATGCTCTAAAGCTAAGGGGCTCAAAGTAACAAAACTTGAAAATATGATTCTCTTCGATCTTTAACCCTTCCGAGAATACATCAAAGCCCGAAAGCACTAATTTCAAGTGGCTCAAATTAACAGGCCACTCAATTTTAGAGCTCTCGGATCTTCCACTCTCCTGAAAATGACTCAACAGCTTGAAAACTACAAGTACCTTAGGCTCAAACTAAAAAATCTCCCAATTTCAGACATCTTGGAACTTTAACTCTCCCCAAAATGTCCCAAGAGCTCAAAATCTCTAATGACAGTGGGCTCAAACTAAAAAAGCTCGAAAATGGGGATGTATAGACTTAAAACTTCTCCCAAAAATGGCTCAAAAGCTCCAACGTACGGTGCTCAAACTAAAAAAGCTCGATTTTTTCGACTCTAGGTAATTTAAATCTCCCAAAAATGGCTCAAAAGCTCTAACGTGTGATGCTCAAACTAAAATAGCACGATTTGAACTCCGTGGGCAATTAAGATCTCTTGAAAATGGCTCAAAAGCTCTTGTGTGTAATACTCAAACTAAAAAAGCACGAATTTGGAACTCTGTGGGTAATTAAGATCTCCTGAAAATGGCTCAAAAGCTCTTACGTGCGATACTCAAACTAAAAAAGCTGGATTTAAAAACTCTCTGGGAAATTAAGATCTCCTGAAAATGGCTCAAAAGCTCTTACGTGTGATACTCAAACTAAAAAAGCT